GGTGATCTCTGCATAGAAATATGAGAATCTTATATCTGAGTGATAATAATTTCCACTTGATCCCTCCCTGACAGCCCCTCAAAAGTGGGGATATGAATAGGAAAGTATTGGGTTAAATATTAATCTGTGCCTAGGAAAGCTTGCAATAAGATAAAGTTCTAAAGAATGTATAATAAAGAAGGAAATGGAGAGTGGAAGCTGGTACTTTTCTTGTTTCCAATCTTTAGGTAAGGATCAAAGCAGAGGGACTTTGTTGTAAAGTAAAAGAATGTACTCATTAATATCTGAAGAAATCTACTTGAGCAGTGGGTATGCAACCTTTTCTATACATTCCCCCTGCTTGTAGGTGTGGTGAGGCCCTCCATTGTATCCTGGCCTACCACCAGAGAGTGAGCAATAAAATGTCCAAATCCTCTCCATTGAATCCTCCAAGTTCTTTCTTTTGAATTAGTTAACAGTATGCTTGGGACATTTGCAGCCCTGGGGTTGAACAAACTACCCTTGTCTGCTGATGACATGATCTTGTATCTAGAAGATCTAAAAAAAACCTCCACCAAAAGACTCTTAGATCTGATAAATTCAGCAAAGTAGAATAAAATCAACATACAAAAATCAATAGTTTCTCCCACACTCTCATAATAAATCTGCTGAGAAAATAATTAGGAAAAATAATTTCATTCTCAATAGCCTCAAAAAAAAAAATCTGAGGAGGTGAAAGAACTTTACAATGAAAATTATAAAACTCAGAAGAGAAAATTGAAGACTTTAGAAGATGGAAAGACCCCAATGATTCTGGATATACAGAATTAACATTGTCAAAATGGCTATAATACTAAAAGCAATCTACAGATTTAATATTAACTCCATTAAAATACCAATGACATTCTTTGCAGACCTAGAAAAAAGTCCTAAAATTCATATGAAAGAATCAAAGACCTAGAGTAGTCAAAGCAATCCTGAGCAAAAAGAGCAATCCTGGAGAAATTACATTACCTGATCTCAAATACTACTATAGAAAAAAACAAAYTATTCTACAAAGCTATAACAACAAAAACAACACAGTATTGGCATAAGAACAGACATGAAGACCAATAGAATAGAAGACACAGAGACAAATTCCACATAAATACATAGAACCTTGACAAAAGTACCAAAAACATGCATTGGAGAAAAGATAGCCTTTTAACAAATGGTGCTGAGAAAACTGAATATCCATATGTAGAAGAATAAAACTAGGTCGCTATCTCTCACCCAAAGTTTATCAAAGACCTAGAAATTAGATCAGAAATACTGTAAGTGCTAGAAGAAAACCTAGGATCAATACTCCAATATATTGGCACAGACACCAACTTCCTTAATAAGATTCCTCAATCCTAAGGAACCAAAACAAGAATCAAAAAGTGGAATGGAATCCAATTAAAAACACAGCAGGAAATGACAAGGCAAAGAGAAAGCTTACAGCATGGGAGAAAACCTTTTCCAGCTATTCTTCCCTTATATATTCAGAATTTATAAAGCATTCAATAAACTTACCCCCCACAAATTAATAATCCAATAAATAAATGAGCAAATGAACTAAACAGACATTTCTCAAAAGAAGAAATACAAATGGCCAACAAATTTATAAAAAAAAAAAAAAAAGTTTAACATTACTAGCAATCAAGGAAGTGCAAACCAAAACTATGTTGAGATCCATCTCACTCCCACTAGAATGACAATCATTAAGAATAACTGCTGGTGAGGATGTGAGGGAAAAGGCATATTTATAAACTGTTGATGGGACTGCAACTAGTATAACTACTTTGGAAAGCAATATGGAGATTTCTAAAAAGAATAGGAATGGAACCATCATATGACCCAGCTATCCCATTCCTTGGTATTTATCCAAAAGAACTAAAATCAGTATTCTATAGTGATACAAGCATATCAGTATTTATAGAAACACAATTCACAAGAGCCATGTTATGGAACCAGCCTAGGTGCCTGTCAATAAATTAACAGATAAAGAAATTGTGGTATACATATACAATGGATATAAAGAAGAATAAAATTATGTGATTTTCTGGTAAATGGACGGAATTGGAAAATATCATATTGAATATAATATGTCAGACCCAGAGAGTTAAAGGTCTAACCATTTCATATGCAGAAATCAGAAGCCAAATGGATTGGGGTGATAGATAAAGAAAGCAGGGATCTCATAAAAACAGAAGGGAGACCAATAGAGTAGAGGAAGGAGATCTAGAGGAGGGCATGAGGAAAAACTGGGAAACAAAATCTACCAAATTATGCTATATACATGTACAAACATGCCATAATTAATCCTGCTTATATATAAAATGATAATGTACTAATTAACATAATGATAGTAATAGAAGAAAGTTCAGTAGAATAGAAAAAGGGGATGCAAAGGGAGGAGAGAAGGGAAGAGGGGAGAGAAAGGAAAGGTACTAAAGAAGGAGAGTGAGCAAATTATGTTAATGTGCTTATATGAATATGGCATAATGAATTCCATTATTATGTATAATTATAATACACTAAAAAATCTTTTAAAAATTTTTATTCTAATTTGCTATATATGACAGTAGAATACATTACAATTCATATTACACATGTAGAGCACAATTTTTCATATCTCTGGTTGTACACAAAGTATACTCACACCATTCGTATCTTCATACATGTACTTAGGGTAATGATGTCCATTCTTGTTCCACCATCTTTTTCTACCCCCATGCTCCTTCCCTTCCCCTCCCACCCCTTTGCCCTATCTAGAGTTCGACTAATCCTCCCATACTCCTCCTCCCAACCCCACTATGAATCAGCCTCCTTATAACAGAGAAAACATTCAGCATTTGGTTTTTGGGGATTGGCTAACTTCACTTAGCATTATATTCTCCAACTCCATCCATTTACCTGCAAATGCCATGATTTTATTCTCTTTTATTGCTGAGTAATATTCCATTATGAATATACAGATCACATTTTTCTTTATCTATTCATCTACTGAAGGCCATCTAGGTTGGTTCCACAGTTCAGCTATTGTGAATTGTGCTGCTATAAACAATGATATGACTGTGTCCCTGTAGCTGTTTTTAAGTTCTTTGGGTATAGATCGAGGGACAAAGGAGGAAAAAAAAAATGGCTAGGCATGGTGGCGCACACCTATAATCCCAGCAATTGGGAGGATAAGCAAGGAAGACTACAGTTCAAAGCCAGCCTCAGCAACTTATCAAGACCCTGTCTCAAAATAAGAAATATAAAGAGCTGTGGATGTTAAGCACCCCTGGGTTCAATCCAGTACCAAAATATTTTTAAAAAATTAAAAATTGAAAAAAATATAGACAGAGAAGAGTCAAAGAAGAACAAGTAAGATAAGACGCAGACCCAAACCAGAACAGAGGAAATAACTATAGATGGAATTCTAACTCTAGACGTACCACTAATACACAGCTTAGCCACTGGTAGAAATGGGAGTAAAGAGAAATAAAAGATGGTTCTGAGGTTTCTGCCATGGAAATTGTATAAAATACAAGGTTAATTATGCAAGATAATCATTCACATCTAATGAACAGACACATAAAATAGTTCCAAGGGAGGAAAACTAGGAGAAAAAAACAAGAGGACTTAATGGACAGGATGAAGAATGAATGGAAGCCACTGGAGACTTCTGCAAAAAACTGTCAGGAGAGGAAGGAGATTAAGTAACAGTAAACAGCCAATAAATGGGCATATTATGTACCTGGCACTACTTTGCTATATGTTATTGAGTCATTTAAATTTCACAACCCTTAAAAAAATTCTAGAAGGCTTGTACTAATGCATGAAAACTAAGACAGCAAGGTTAAGAAACATTCTCAAGATCACATCACTTCTATGACAGAAGCCAGATCTCTGGGGATTAGGTAGAGAATAACAAGTTAGGAAAAAGATCCAGAAATGTGTGGAAGGTTGAGTCGTATCTTATATTTCAATTAGGGCTTAAAACCATGACAAAAGAAAATCAAGTATACTTCAAAATAGCCCTTGAAAATTCCTTAAATAAATGTGCACTGTTTTTTGTATATGGGCCTGTAGGTGACAATACTGGTTCCTTTAACAATCTAGTATTCATTTTTTCCCCATGACATTTAATTTATTCACTCCTTAATTTTTTTCACAAGCATTAAGAGAAAATTATATCCAGTCTCTTGTCTAGTCTTCTGAAAATGCTTTTTCACTCACTCACTCATCAGTACCAGAGAAACTCTCAAAATCATTTGCATGTTTTTCCACAGCTCTGAGACACAACAATGGCCAGAGTACAGTTAATGAGTGGGGAATGTGGGAAGGGAACTGCCTCAGTCATAACTAAGCCTCTTCCCAACCACCCACTTCACCCTAGGAAAGGAGCTTAATTATAATTCTTCCCTTCAGTTAAATGAAATTATGATACAACTCCAAATTTACCCCTTCACACATTTAATTCTAAGACAGGTTTTTTTAAGGAAAGGTTTCAGAGGACATGGATAGAAAAAGCTTTTCTACATGATCTTTTAAGGAAAGTGCCATTCTACAAGAAAAGATTGAAACTAGAAGGAGGCAAGATCCTGTAGAAGGGCATAAATGAGAAGACCTTGGAAGGGTTAGCCTTGAGAAAGAGAAAGTACATTTATTTCCCTACAACCTGGAGAAAGAACATCAAACACAGTTGAAAATTTACATCGCGCAGATCAAGTGGGGCCTCAGGATGATGGTCTGAATGTTCTCTGCAGCAAGAGGACAACTTACCAACCACAAAGTGAGAGGTGATACCTGGGAAGGAGGATTCAGAGTAGGGAAACAAATCAGGCACTGTGGGAAAAGAAAGCGAATCAACCCAGAAAGAGGAGTCCAGTAGAGAAAGCCCTACTCAGAAAAATTGTTATCTTTCATGTTGTCTTGAAAAACTCATCTTTGAAAAAATAAAACTAATTTCTAAAACAAAACTCTGATATTATTCAGAGCAAAGAGCTATATTCTTAAAAATTTAAACTTACTGAATTATTTTGCTTCAAAAACTCTGCAGCATTTTCTTCTGCATCACCACCAATTTCACCAATCAATATGATGCCTTCTGTGGTTGAATCATTCAGAAAGATTTCAAGGCAGTCAATAAAATTAGTTCCATTAAAGGGATCACCTCCAATACCTGGGACAATCAAAGAATATCAACATCAATTGAAAATTTAAGGATAAATTATGAAATTCAGGTAAGGAATATTGTTTCAACTGATTTTCTTTCTCTTGGATCTTTTAAAATGTATCATCACTTTTGCATTTAATATTCAAAAATCACAAAATGCTACACTTATTTCTGTTTGTTAATATTATGCAAATGTAAATGGATGTTGGTTCCTGGTCTGCACAAAAACAACCCTCTTTTTGTTTTAGCTCTTTCATATAAGCTTCTTCTCTAGCACAAAGTTATTACAGACTCTTTAGAATGATCATTTTAGAAAATGTGGCTTTGTGCTATAAGCTGATGTTTCACCATAAGAAGAGATTAAATATTTAGTAAATTCCTTTCCTCAGAGGAACTAACTGATAAAACAAACTCCAGTATTTCCACTTACAAGTTTAAAGGCACAAGTGTCATGAGTGACAGAGCACAGGGTATCCTGACCCTCTTTTCTTTAGATTCAGAGTAAGTGATGAGATAGCCTATACATGACATTTAAGAATGAGCACTTTGAAAGGATTAAAGTAAGTGTTCCCAATAGACTGGGTGCCATTTTTTTTTTAATTATAAACTCATTAAGAGCACACTTGTGTCTCTGAAAAATGAAGTTGAAGAAGGAAACTAGCATTTATTAGGTGCCAACCATTGTGTCAAACCATATACTTTATTTAGCATACTTTACACCTGGTATTTGCTAATTCCTCCTCCAAGCTTTCTGTAAGATAGGTCTTATTATCCTACATTTACAAATTAAAAAACTGAAGCTGGAGAAGATGGAACTGGCAAATCTATTTCCAAATCTATTGTTGTTCTACACATCACATTAAATTATCCTGTGTCAAAGATCGTGCTTTAATGTCTTCAATTTGAATTTATGGATTCAGAGAGTAACAAAAATACTCCAGAGCTATGTTTTATAATATTTTATTACATAAAAGATATTTCTGAAAGATATTCTAATAGGCTAGGGATGTGGCTCAAGCGGTAATGCACTCGCCTGGCATGCGCGTGGCGCTGGGATCCTCAGCACCACATAAAAAATAATAATAATAAAATAAAGATGTTGGGTCAACCGAAAACTAAAAAATAAATATTAAAAAATTATCTCTCTCTCTCTCTTTAAAAAAAAAAAAGATATTCTAAGGCTTTGAAGAAATATTATAAAAATGAGAAACTGGCTTGGCTTGTGGCTAAAAAGACTAAAATTATTCTAAAATGTAAAACTTGTAAGCATTTTTATTTTTTGAAGTGGGAGACATTGTGGTGTGGCAAAAAGAGATGACTTAGGGCTAACTCAGCCCTCCCCAACCTTGACTTTATGCCCCTAAAGACTATAACCAACTTTTAGCTGAGAGGTACCTCAGAGGGTTGCCTTAGGAACAAAACAATGAATGGCAAAGAATTTCACAACTACAAAGCACTGAAAATAATTACAATAATAACAAAAGTTCTAATATAAGGAACCATTTCTTCACAGTTGCAAAATAGTGACATTTTCAGGGAGAAAAGCTCTCCCCAGGAGCCACACATCAAAGGATGGTTGTTTGCAACCTAAAAATCAAATCTCGGACTAGGAAACTTGAAAAAATACAGAAGAGTTTCACATTTAGGCAAATTAAACTTAAGATTATATCTTTTTAATAAAATGATATTAAAACCTCATAAATAAATAAATAATTATTACTCTACTCATTCAATAAAGAGACTACATTCCAATAAAATGATTTTAGCAAAAATCTCTCACCAACACACAAAGATTGCCCCAATCCAACTTGTGTTGTTTGGTGAACTGCTTCATAAGTCAAGGTGCCAGATCTGGACACAATACCTTAAAGTAAAAGAATTCAAAGATATTAGATTGCATTTATGTAATAGATTATTATGTGGTAAACTACATTAAATATATTCTGAATTCATCCCATGATTTGCCATCCAAATCAATTCCTTCAAATGACACAGTGAGAAGAAAAGGGAAGTTATTAAAATTAGATGAATAAAATACATTATTAAGGTTATTTTATGATTAAAAAGCAATGCAAGATAATCTTCTGAGAATCTTTATGAAGGAGATAATAATATCAATATGAACTTGGCAGACAGAATTCTGCTTTGGATGGTAGAACATAATAGATTGACTTCAGGAACCCCAACCATTAAACCATCGAAACCAGGATGAGTCATATTCAGCAAGGCTATCTACCTTCCCCACACTATTTTCTGAAGAGTTTTCCAATAATACATAAGCAATATCCCTCTAAATTCATCAAGTCTCCTTTATCCGAAATTTCCTTTATACAATGGTCTTCTCTTATAGTTCATAATGCATGACTGAGTTTCTGCAAAGGTAACTTATCCCCATGCCACAATCTGTACAATACATTAGAACAAAAGATACATAATAGGTGTATCTCTAATTTGAACAGGTTGAAAAGTATGAATAAATAACTTCAATTGTTGAACATATTAAATTTAATTAAAAAAAAAAAACACAAAACTTTATATGGGCTAAGATCAGAGAATTGGCTCTGGAGTATAACTATAGCATGTCTACGGTTTTCCTTTTTTAAACTTTAGCTATGGAGCACATTTTTAAGAACTCAAAAGACCTTTGCTAACATTATGATGCCCAAGCAGATTATTGCCAGATTGAGACAAAAATGATAATGACCATAAGCTTCCTTAGATTCAATGCAGCATATTCACATTTGTAAGAAAAGTGTTGTGTCATTGTTGTTGTATATTCGGGGGGTACAAAGTGTGTGACTGGTGATAAATACACATTTTCCCACTATAAATTTAGGTATACGTAACTTTAGATTCTTTGCATCAGTCAGTCGAATGAGAGAAAGGCATGCAAGTATCTTGGTCACTGCTAGACAGTACCTGACAGCACATGTCATTCTTTCAGATGAATTCTACCAAAGAGTGACAGCTAGGTCTCTCCCTGAAAATGCCTCACTTCATGTGGAACTCTTCTCTAACACAATCTAGCACAGGCCCTGCCTCCCTTCCCAGACTTGATTCCCTTTATTTCCCTACTCTATAAGAGTATTGGGTTATTTCTCACTTCATGCTTTTGTATCTTTCCATATTTGTTCTATTTAAAATGGAACATTTGACCATCTCATAAAAATTCTCACTATCTTTCAAGGCCCACATCAAAATCTTAAATGCTATTTTCTCTTAGAAGTCTTTCCTGATCATCCCAAACAGATGGAATAAAATCTCTTTCTCTAAATCGCCTCAGTATTTATATATTTCCTGTCACCCTTAATACTGGGAGATAAGGACAAAATGTTATGTTTTATCTATCACAAAGAAACCATAAGCATTTTTTTGTGTGTGTGTAGAAACAATTTCTTCCACTGAATGGTTTACTATTATCCCCAATGTTACTATAATGCACTGTAAGAGGGCATGCACCACAATCAACTCTCCTTCCTCTTGAGATCAAGGTTGGTACTATTGCCAAATATTGAAAATAGAGGCAGGATTATGAAAAGAATAATGAATGTCCTACAGTGATCTACAGGTAGCTATTTTTTTCCCCTAGTGTCATAGCAAATGCTATGAAGTATTAACAGTACCCATTCAAAAAAGCAGACCAAAGAATATAAAGAATATTGAAACATGTATTAGGATAGGACATCAGTGACTATGTGGATCAGGCCCCAGTGGAGTTCAGATGGCCTATGAAGTTTCCTGTAATGTCCCTAAGCAAAGCTATCAAGTTTACTACTGGCAGAAGGACTGACAGCTCTAAGAAACATTAGTAATAAACAAAAATCATGACCTTTAACCCAAGTCTGCAAACTATGCCATCAACATTTACCTACTATCATGATTATTATTTAGTTTTAAGAGCCATGGTATATAGACAGAGAACACTGTAATCATCCATTATGGTAGAGAAACAGTGTATCTTAGTGACAGTTATGAAGAGTCTAAAAACAGTCATAATGAACCTAACTTTGAAATATTAGTTTGGCCATTTCCTTAAAGAGCTAACCAACCAGCAGGACAATTTTCCCAAAGCATTTTGAAAAAGTTTGTGATATCTAAGAGAGTAATTTTTAGGATCTTGGAAGACTAAGGGTAAAAAATATTCACAACACATATATCTGACACAGGATTTATATCCAAAATATTTATAAAGCCCCTTATAATCAACAATAAAAAGACAACCCCTAAAATATAACAGGCAATAAACTTGAAGTGTTATTTTGCAAAAGATATGTGCATCCTCTAAAGCATAAGAAAAGATGCTTTACATGATTAATCACGAGGAATGCTAAAATTAAAAACACAAAGAGATTCCATTTCACTGCCCATAGAATGCCAATAGAATGAAATTTAAAAAGACCAATAACACTAAATGTGAACATTTAAACAACTGGAACTATCATGCATTAGTTGTAAAAATATAAAATGATATAGCCAGTTAGTTCACTGAACTATTTGGTAATTTCTTAAAAGAGTTGAACATACTTAACCCTCTGATTCAGCAATTCCATTCTTTGATATTTTGCTTAAGAGAAATGAAAATGTGTCCATAAAAAAAGCCTACAGATCAGATGTTGGCTTCATTCATAAAGCTTAAAACTAGGAACAACTCAGATGTTCATTACAAGAGATCAGATAAACAGCAGTAAAACTACAAACAGAATACTATTATATAATCAACTACTGACATGTAAACATATGAAAGAGTCCACAGACTGTTTTACAGGAAAATAATCTTTAAAAAACTCCAAAATCTTTACTGATTCTATAGAATTATAACCGCTTCTCAAATAAATTAATTACATTTGGGATATAGAATTGAGTCACTATAAAATTTCTTTGGTAAATTCTACTAAATTAAATTAATCAATAGAATAAATTTGATTTTCAGAGTACAAATTCTCTGAGTTTTGAGAGTTTGGAGCACAGAGTTTTTTGTTTGTTTGTTTTAAATCTACAATTAAGTAACAAACTAACTCACCAATTCTTCCTTTCTTGTGAATATGGCCAGGCATGATGCCAATCTTGCATTCTCCAGGCTGAAAGAAAATAAATCACTGTTTCAGAAAAGTTAAAAAAAAAAAGAAAAAATTGTAAATCATAGATCATATACATAAGTACCCTTAGACTGGTTCAAAGCTGTTTAGCTTTGTAAGAGGCTAAATCTGAGCTTTTTTATTTTTTTTTTTTGCACTCACATTGATGACTCCAGGGCAGTTTGGCCCAATTAGCCTTGTCTTTCCCTGACGCAGCAGTTTGTGCTTGACCCGTACCATGTCCTGTTGTGGGATACCTTCAGTAATGCACACAACCAAGGGTATTTCTGCCTCAACAGCTTCATCAATGGCCGCAGCAGCAAAAGGAGGAGGGACATAAATGACAGAAGCTGTTGCTCCTGTCTGTTCTTTGGCCTGAAACATTAACCATAAAGCACTTCATGATTGGTTAAGTCATAAACATTATATAAATTCAATACTATGATTTTATTGATGTCTAGGGATCAGGAAACAATGCCACCAGGAGACAACACAGGTTGCCCTAATTCTTGCCATCCTCCAGTTCACAGTGTCAGAAAATAGCACAATCAAAGCCTCTTCTCTAATTCCTTTGAATGCCACTGTGGATTGAAAGGTTCTGTGACATCTCATTCCTTCAAATGATGGCACGTCAGTAGACCCAAAAGCACTGCTTGTCTTGCATTTGTGTCCCCTCATTCCTGTTTATTCCAGATTTATCATGATTAAGAAATTATACTATTCATTAACAAAGCCCCTGTACTTCTCCAGAAGGACTAGTGAGCTCCAAATGTTCAAAACTCAGCTCACAGATATCTGTTTAAAAATATATTATATTCAGAAGAGAGATCAGTGGAGTAGAGGGAAGGAATCAAAGGGGAGGAAAGAGGGACAGGAAAAGGGAGGAACTGTGGAATGAATCTGACCAAATTTTCCTACATACATATATAAATTTCACCTTTATGTATATTCATAATGTGCTAATTTTATGTATATTCATAATATGCTAATTTTAAAAGACTATAAATAAATAGAAGGAAGATCAGCAGAGTACAGGAAAGAAAGTGAGGAGAAGAAGGAAAGGGGAAGTACTAGGGATTAAATTGAAGCAAATTATAGTCCATGCTTGAATGTCAAAATGAACCTCAACATTATGTGTAACTGCAGTGAACTAATAAAAGCAGAAAAAATATACGCTCAGTAAATATTCACAAAAAGAATGAAGTTTTCTTACCTTTTCTACTATGAATGCATATTTATTAGAAATATACCAATTACACAAAAATGCACATGCAATTTTAACACTGTCACCTTTCACGATGCAAAGCACTTGGAGGCCACCAATTTGTCCACCATTATTCTCTCTGTGGACATGAGCCTGGTCTATACATTTGGTCTTTACATAGTATCTACATATATCAATGCAAAGGTATCCTTCTACCCCCTTCTCTGTGCAGCTAAGTCTTCTACTATAATAGAAGCTCCCTGAAGATAGAGACTATTGAAAATTTCCCTCTAAGAGTAGCAGGACTTCATCACAATCCTGAATCTTAGTATCACCATTTTACAAATCAAGATAGATGCTGAGGCCAAGATATATTAAAGAACTGTTCAAGGTCACATAAGGAAGCAGCAGAGATAAGATTTAATCCTGGGTATACCTGATCCCAAAGTATCCACTCAGGTCTATTATAGCAGGAATCTCCACATAAATGATAAAACTGTTGCTGAATCAAAATGGAAATCAAAGAATTTTGTAAGGCTGTGCCATGTGATGTATATGAGTACTAAGCTAAAGAACATACCAGTTCAACTAGAAGAAGGGACAGAAGTAAAAGATAATATCTTCAAGTATCATCCCTGAATAATTCCTCACATTTCCAGATATCAAAGAGCTTTCTCTACTACATTCCTAATAAAAACTTTCTTGACTATGACAGAAGAAAAACTACCAAGGATGTTGATAGATCATCTACAAATAATGCCAGTTTTATAAATAATTTTTTAAAAACTCTGTTCAAGATGTTGATGGAGTGGGTGAACAAAAGTAAAGAAATATGAACTAGGTTGGAACCAAAAAGAAGTCAGATCATGGGCATAATTTATTGAAAAATGATAGTTCTCAACTCTAAGAGTTACAAATACTGCCAGAAGTTAGACAGTGACAAGTACTATGTGATGAGAAATCAGACTGGATGAAAAGTATCATTCCTACTCATGCAGAAAATTCTTTCTAAGAACTGAACAGGTAAGAAATAAAAAACATCTGTCAAAGAATTTACAGAACATTCCAAATGCCACATCTACTTGTGTCACTAGGAATCACAAATAAATTGCTTAGCAACAAAACTTTATTTTTTTTAAAAAACGTCCATGACAAAAGAAAAGTCTGTCTCAAAGAATTCTGACAAACCATCTCTTCTCTCTGTTTTGAGGTTACAGTCAGCCACAATAGAATTTAAAAGGAAAAAAAATTTTTAATTTGAAGAAAAAAAATCTAAATAATTCCTCTACAGAATGATTTCTAATATTTTATTTTATTTTTTTTAATTTAAATACAGCACACTTGAATACATACACATATTACAGTCTATATTCTAGCTTAAAGTAAAACGAAAAATTTCAATTTGAAGGATACTTGCTTTTTTCTGCATTTCAGGATTAAGAGTATCCTCTATTCAGCCAGTATTTAGACCTAAGAGATTAGGTCTGTAAATTTGTACTTCAAAAAAAGCAATACCTTAAGATATACCTTTAAATTTTGCTAAGAAGAGGAGAGGAATACAGTTAGGATTGATCTATATGCCAATCTTAGGTATTGTTATTCCCTATAATTATTTTTTATTAAATAACCCAAGAATTTGTACTATGGTTTCTTTCAAAAAACTGTAATTTTTATATAAATTCAGATAAAAGTAGAGACTGGAAGACACATTGAGCTTAAATTAGTCCTCTAAAGCAGCAAAATCTGAGCTGTGGAAAACATAATATTAACTTAAGTTAGCTTTATCTACACTTTATAATAAGCACATATTAGTTTTGTAACAAAGACCTAAAGGTTAATTTAATTCATTACTAAGAAATCAGCGATTTAGAGAAGTAGGACCCTGTGATTTGCCAATCTGACTTTATAATTCAGTTTCTTTTACTCTGAGCCTGTGAGACTACTTGTAAGACCCTTAGCCTCTTCACATTAGTAACATCCTTGGCTTTAAAACAGGGATGAAAACTGCAAGTTCCTCAGGGGATTGTGATGAGGCCTGAATTGGGCATTGTGCATGAAGTACTCAGAGGTACTGCTGACATTTATACTACTATCATCCTAGAAGAAAAATAAGAAAAGAATAAAAAGCCAAATGGAAGCCAGGCCACGATGCTTTTTTCCCTGAACAGATGATGCGTGCCTATAAGCCAAAATGACATCTTGGTTTTTTACCACAATTCAAATTTCTTCATGTTCCTGAGTATAAAATAGCAAATGACCATCCCAAAAGGGACACAATTAAGATCTCTGTCTATTCCCCTGTTTTTCTTTTCTTGCCAAACTCATGTACCATTAATTACCTCCTTCACAGTATTAAAGACAGGTAAGCCCAGATGTGTCTTCCCTCCTTTCCCTGGAGTGGTTCCTCCAACAAGTTTGGTGCCATAGTCCAATGCCTGCTGGCTATGAAAGGTGCCCTGAGGAGAAAAAGCAAAAGATCCATGAAGAGGTAGACCAGGAAGCCTATAGAGAAGCAAAGGCAATCTTAGCAACTTAGGAAAAGAAAAATAAACAAGTTAACTATTCTCAGGTAATAACACATATCCATATTTCAGCTTTGCACTTCAGAGCAAAACAGGTGTCAGTGAAGCCAAAATAGCTATTTAAACGGTCTTTCTCGCTTTAAGTTAATAATCAGTTAGTCTTTAACAGTGTCCACCCATCATTCTTTATTTCCCTATCCATTCACTTTCCCTCCTCAACCAAAGCATTAGTAGTAGTAGCAGCAGTATTTTGAACCAGGGATTGAACCTAGGAGCGCTTAACCACTAAGCCATATCTCCAGTCCTTTTTATTTTTTATTTGAGATAGGGTCTTGCTAAGATGCTTAGGGCCTCGATAAGTTGTTGAGCTAACTTTAAACTTGCAATCCTGCTGATTTAGTCTTTTGAGCTGCCAATCACAGCATTATTGATATTTTGGACATAATGATTCTTTGTCATGGGAGATCATCCTGCACTTTGTAAGATATTTACCAGCATTCCTAGTCTTTTCCCATTGGGTGCCAGTATACCCTCCCTGCAAACCTGTCCAGTTGAAACAACAAAAATGGCTCCAGGGATTGCAAGATTCATTTCACTTGACTTCTGGGGCTCACTTTCCCTGGTTTTCTTCTTTTCTTTTTCTCTCCTTAGCCTTCTCTTTTTCATCTAAATGTGTGCCTTTGGTGATATCATCTCTTATCAGGGAAATAAATAACATATGTATAGTGACTCCTACCACTCCCCACCCTTATATATCTAACCAAGACCCTTGTCTTAAATTCCATACTTACATTGTCAATTGCCAACCTAACATCTCCACATCTCAAATTTAACATGCAGCAAACTGAGTTCCTGATCACTCCCCTTCTCAATCTACCCCATCTCAGTTAATAACAACTTCACTCCATACAAATGTTCAGACCAAAGTTGCTAAAGTTATCCTATATTCTTCTCTTTCTTTCTTTTTTTTTTTTTTTTAAAGAGAGAGTGAGAGAGGAGAGAAAGAGAGAGATAATTTTTAATATTTATTTTTTAGTTCTCGGCGGACACAACATCTTTGCTGGTATGTGGTGCTGAGGATCGAACCCGGGCCGCACGCATGCCAGGCGAGCGCGCTACCGCTTGAGCCACATCCCCAGCCCCTCTTCTCTTTCTTATATCACATATTATATACATTAGTAATCTTACTGTTCCATTTTCAAAACATAATCAACAACTTCTCCCCCGTCTAGTGCTAGCTACCACCTATGTTTGTAAACATAGCAGTGTGACACTGCTGCAACTCTTACTATATTTTTACAAAAGTACTGATCCACATTAGATAGAAATTAAAAATGACTACCTAAACCGATCTTTTACTCCAGATAGTTTTGAGAAGCACTGTCCTAGACTACACTACTAGGTAAATTCAAATCACCTTAACTCAACAGATCATTACCTTGTCCCCTATGAATCTGTTCTTCATAGCAACCAAAGTGATCCTGTTAAAATGTAAGGAAGACCATATCACTCCTCTGTTCAAACCCTTCAGTCTTTTCTCATTTCATTCATAGTATAAGCCAAAGCCAAACTCTTATACTGGTTTACAAGTTAATATACAACCTGTCTCCCACAACAGAACCTCTTATCTGAATGCCCTCATTTACTGTTCTCCCATTGCTTACTTATAGCTTACACGTGGCAGGCTATGTCTGCCTAATGATCTTGCTATGCTCTCTCCATGGAATACATTTCCTTACCTATCCAACCAGTTCACTTCTACATCATCTTTAGATCTTGCTATCCCTGAAATCAAGCTATCCCTGACCACTTGCTGTAAAAATCTCCTTCTCCCCCATTCCAACCAAAACTCCACATACACTTTCCTTTCTCTGGTTTGTTTTTTCCATAGCAATTAATACTTTCTAACAGACCACAAAATTCACTCATGGATTTCATTGATGAATTTCTCTCAACTATAACTTAAATTCCATAAAAAAAAATTTCTATTTTGTTCACTGAAACAAGGCACTTAAATTACATACAGCAGGTACTCAATAAATAGTTATTGAAAACTAAATGAGTCTGTCTGGTCATTCTACAGGGACCTAAAAATGCTGAGCCAACTATTCAAGTTCTTAATTATTTAAGAAATAAAACTTAAACAAAGTGACAGAGTCTTAGAAAGAACAACAGGCCAGTGTTCTTTCTCTTAAAACAATGCTATTCAAAGTATGATGTGCAGACTCTTGCTAGTATGCAAGGAAGCAAAAGCAAAACAAAAGAAAAAGAAAATGATCCAAGGAAGGAAGGGAGGGAAAGAGAAAATTAAAAATCTAATAAAAATCTAGGCAAGGTGGTGCACAATTGTAATACCAGCAACTAGAAAGGCTGAGGCCAAGAGGATCCCAAGTTAGAGGGCAGCTGGTGCACAATTGTAATACCAGCAACTAGAAAGGCTGAGGCAAGAGGATCCCAAGTTAGAGGGCAGCCTCAAAAACTTAGTGAGACTCTAAGCAAATTGGTGAGACGCTGTTTCAAAACAAAAAATTAAAAAAGGATTGAGGATATAGCTCAGTGGTAAAGTGCCCCTGCATTCAATCCCCAGCATAAAATAAATAAATAAATAAAAATTTTTTAAAAAGTAAAGCAGAAAATGTTCTTAAGGGTTGGAGCTGTGGCTCAGTGGTAGAGTGCTTGCCTAGTATGCATGAGGCACTAGGTTGAATTCTCAGTACTGCATATAAATAAATAAAATAAAGGTACATCAACAACTAAAAAAAAAATTTTAAAAAAGAAAATGTTTGTAAACATAGCAGTGTGACACTGCTGCAACTCTTACTATATTTTTACAAAAGTACTGATCCACATTAGATAGAAATTAAAAACAACCACCTAAACCAATCTTTTACTTCAGATAGTTTTGAGAAGCACTGTCCTAGACTACACTACTAGGTAAATTCAAATTAACCAAAATTTTAGGCCTAAAAATGGTGCTAAACAGAGAGCATATCCATTTAATATGTAACGTACTTTCCTTAATTTTCCATTAACAGCATCTAGTGTACAGTAAAGAATAGGAGTTATTTTGCTCATAAAAGCTAGAGAAATCAGATGGTACCCACTAGAAATGTGCACTGCACAGGCCAACTTATTTATAGAATCTACTCCATAAAACAAACAATAAATACTCTTTCATATATGGAACAATGTGTGTACTAAAGAAAGAACTAAAGAGAATTGAAGACTTCCTTTTCCAGTGGAGGTAAGCTCTAACTTTCACACCTTATTATAACCTCTATAATAATAGAATTTCAATCAACAAATCTAACTGGCAATTAAGGCTCTCAATCACTTTAAAAACCCCAAACTAGGAAAGTGAGTGAGAAACATCTGATTGCAGGTAACTGAAAGATAATGAAAATGACCTTAGTTTTAAATATTTAGGTAAATCGTTACCTACTTTAGAAAGTAAACATGTTTCCAAATAGTGCTTATACCATAGGAAATGTTCTTACCAAAAAAGCTCAGAAGTCAAAATGGCATAAGATCACACAAAGTTTAGCAAATAGAAAAACAAAATATGTATTATTAACTTAAGTGACAAATCTGTGTTTATCAAGCATTTGATTATATGCTAATAATATATAGAGAGAGATAGATAAAATATATATGCAAAAATAGACTGAATGTAATTTAGAAGAGAATGACAAATTAAAATCAAATCATGAGCATCTACTTCCCTTAGAATGTATATGTAGAAGTGATACTCAGAAAATGTCTGGCTATTTAGTTATCACCCTCTAGATAAGGGTTGACAAACTATGGTCTGTGGAATTTGTCCTGCCATCTGGCTTTACAAATTAAGTTTAATTGGAATTCAGCTATACCCATACACAGTTCTGTAATATAAACTCTGTAAAATACAAATAATATAGGTATAAATGTTTGTATTTTTAAGAAAAATATCTGGAAGAACACAGACCAACTTATTTACAGAAGGAATTCTTGGTGAATAGAACCATAAGAAAGGAGAAGAAGAGATTCTTATGTTGTATTTCATTACAGAATCACATCACAGATTTATTTAAATTCATGCTATAAGCAGGGAAGAGGGAGAGAGTCTAAATATAAGTGGCAAACAAATTAAAATACTGTAAGCAATTCTGCCTACTGACTTCTTTGATGAAAGTTTGTGCCAGAGAGATTATAACATGGGAAAAAGTCAGTGTGCTGGTTCCTCTGCCTGTTTCTGAAAGGCACCCTGGGTTTATGTACTTCTTCACACTGAATGTGGATTTCATGTTTAAAAATGGATATTTCTGTGTACAAAGACCTAGACACAAGTAATCTACTTTATCTTGTTTAAGACCTAGTCACAAGCAATCTACAGTGACCTCTCTCAACACTGGAGGAATAGGGTGTTGAGTCTCCAACATAGCCTACTTCTATGCATTTTCAAGGAAGTTTAAACACAATTTTCATCTTACAGGCTAACTATGGCACCTCTTCCTAAGATACAATCCCATTTCTGCACAACAAATTTTTCTGCATCAATCATATATTATTACAGGTAGAAAATAGCAGCCAGTGCACGCTGTAATTTCAGCAACTCAGGTGGTTAAGGCAGGAGGATCACAAGTTTGAGGCTAACCTCAGCAACTTAGAGAGACCTGTCTCAAAATAAAAGAATTGGAGATATAGCTCAGTGGTAAAGTGCTCCTAGGTTCTATTCCTTATAACAAAAAACAAACAAACAAACAAAAAAACACCACACACACACACAAAACAAAAACTTGTTGAGTGAATCAATTTTAAATAAAGTAGAAAGTAGCAAAATTATTTTGTATTTTTGAATCTACACTTTAAATAAAAATCTACACACACATACCTGCTTACCAGTGAAACCCTGGCAAATGACCTTCGTATTTTTATCAATATAGAGATGTTTCCGGGAAGCTGTATAGGAACAATGCCGAATTGCATTCTGTTGCACTGAGAAGTAAAGAAAATATGACATATTAGAATTTTTCCAAACTTTTGAACAATGAATTTAACTTGGTCACACATACACACAAAATCTCTAATGCAAGAGCTGTACTGTCATTATGGTAAAGTTAAATGTCACTTTTAAAATGAGACACACAGACCACATAAATAAATTATAAAAACAAACAAAAAAGGCCCTACTCTATTCTCCAGGATCTTCTCTTTATCGAGAAAAAGCTACAATCTTGAAAAAGAAATTAAAAAAGAAAAGATGAAGTTTCTCATTTTCATTCCTTAGAAAGAAAACTGAGGTTCAAAGACTAATGACTCAGATTAAACCCAGGGACTGAAACTAGTTATTATCCCCACTAATAATGTTTACAAAATAGTCACAAGCTCTCACTGGACCTAACTTTTAAAAGTCTAATACCTATAAATAATAAGTAAGCTAAGAGGCAAATTTTGTCACAAACTATGAATAAGAACTACTCTAATGCTCATTCCCCAATAACAATATATTAAATGTTAAGGTGTAGAATAAAGTTTGTCTAAAATATAACCCAAAATCACCTAAATTGATCTTTTCTAGTGCAAGATTCAATAACCCACTATAGAAGAAACAGGGAAAATAAAATAAATAGAAAAGTAGATGAGAGAAGAAGAAACTTGTTTAAAAAGAAAAAAAAAAGTACTTAATTTTCAGCATCCTACCTCAAGGAAAACTTACTACAACAACTCCTCCCACTTCAAAAATCAGTAGGAAAAGGCACACGTTACTTTAAATTTGTGGGCTACCCTCTAAACCTCCACTAGAACCACCAACCCACCACTCAAGGGCTACTTTCAAAGTAGCCAAGCCTTCTATCTACTGCTGAGTAGCCCAAGAAAGCTAGCTCCAGAACAAAAAATATCTTATCATATTTTTCTCCAGGACCCACCCAATGCTTTCTGCTTTGAATCACTATAAATGGCTACCTCATGCCTCCTAAATCTTCAGACTTCAGGTGCCACAACTAAAAGAACATTGATATGTGCTTCCAGCAGAGGTACCTGGAGTCCCCACACCTGTAGGGTACAGAAAGACCCAGCTTTCACTCTTACCATCCAGAAGAGGAGTGTTCTGAGTGCACACGGAACTACTAGGTAACAGCTTTATTCTTAGACTAGACTACGCTGCAGGGGTTGAGGAGCGGGTGTCAGGGGTGTGGGGTGGAGGGCATGGGGGGGTCAAGAACTGGCACAGTGGGCACAGCAAGCACCTGACCCTAGGTCACAATAGTATTTATGGCCTAAGAGACTGCCCCCACACATCTGTACACTAGGGCCCACCCAGTCAGTGCTATCAGAGATTATACTTGCCCTAAGCTAGCAGACAAACCAATAAAGGCCATAAACAAGAAACATAACTGATGACAAATGGTATTATCAACATATGATGAGATGTCTAATTTTACTAATAATGATAAAATAAGCATTTTAAATTAAATATCAGGGCAAGGCCTGAACTTGGCCACCAGTTATATTTTGATGGTCAGGGCTATAGCTGCCACATTCTGGGTCAACTTTAGAGGATAAACTAGCATCACCTTCTCTTCAAATTCTTAGAAACTGGTCAGCCTAACCTTGGTAATGTGACCCAGGAGCAGCTGAGAACATTATCTCAGGAATCAGACAGGCCAGGGCTTGCGTTTAGGCTCTACAGCTCACCAGCAATGTGACCCAGGGCATATCTTTTGATCTCCCTTAGCCTTGGTCTTCCCATCTGTAAATGGAATAACAGCTGCCCACAAGAAGACTGTGATCTTAATATGAGATGATGCCTGAAGATTGAGAATCAAAGTGCCTTGGTACACTCCCAAAATCCTACATGAGCACAAAGGTAAATCTTTTCCTAAAAAGAGAAAAAATATAGTTCATATTTTAAAATCAAATAAGTCCAACCAGAAATGTTCTAAATATGTCCTCACATACACTCTATATACAAATGTTTATGTATAAATATAAATATGTGTAGCACACACAAATATACTTGTAAGTTTTTAATTAGGAAACATTTTTAAGGTGCAGCCTCATGCTAAAAATGGGGATGATAATATATACCACATTGGCCAATGTAAGAATTAAAATGAGTTAATATAGAAAATATGTAAAACAACACCTAGAGTACAGTTAAATGCTATATCACTAATGGCTTATTTTATTATCATTATTTTTTACTGATAAAAAATGAGCAGATAAAACTGTTTTGAAATGTTCATGGTGGCAAGCTATCTGCCATGTGCTAGGGATTCATGAGTAAATTAGACTAGGTAGGGCTCTATCCACCTGAAGTTTCTTGCTGTGTAATAGCTAAATATTAACAAAGAAATACAAAATTACAAAAACACAACCTGCAAAAAAGATGCTGAAATAAAGGGACTGAGTAGCCTACAAGAGATGTGCTTTCAACTGGGGTGGTGAATTTATATTAGTTAGGCATAACTGAGTCCTATTTCCCCTAGATAGCAACCACTTAAAAGATGTATGGTGGGATTAATACTGCAATCTATGGCTAAACAGATACCATGGCCTTGTATAGACTAGTACCATGCTCCTAACCGGTAACCTGAGATTCTTTTAGTGAAAATACTCCTTCTCTAACTCACGACTTAAACTATGTCTGTGTTACTAATTTATTTATGCATATATTCATGAATTTAACAAATGTATACTTATTAACTGTATCAGCCCATTTTCTTGATAATAAAATACCTGAGGCTAGCTATTTATAAAGAAAAGAGGCTTACTTAGCTTACAGTGGCCAAAACTCCACTCTAAAATTCCTCATTTGTTATGCTTCAGGTAAAGGCTCCCTTGGCTACATCATAATATTACAGAGAAGTAAGAAGGAAAACAGCCCCATGCAGAAAGGGCTAAGCACACAGGGTTGCTTTGCTTTATAATAATCCATTGTCTCAAGAACTCACTCCAGGAGACTAACATTAATCTATTCTTAGGGTGGTGCCCCCAATGACCTAGCTACCTTCAAATAGCCCTAACCTCTTAAAGGTGCTACCACCTCTCAACATGGCCACACTGGGGAATGAGCATTTGGCCCATAAATGCCTGGGGGATACACTCAAATGTGTATAAATCCTAGCATTAACCATATGTATTATGCATATGTAATTTACAGGCTCATGTGGTTCCCACGTATAGTATCCTAAAATACAGCAGCATAATTTAGCTGTCACTTACCCCCAAATCCAAACAACCTACTATTCAAATACAAAATTATATATTCATTGATTGTAAATACCATATTTCATCAAATCTAAAACATCACTGGTTTTCACAAAGCACTATTAACAGTACTAGTAAAAAAGAAAAAATACTGCCAATATTGGTAAGATAACATCAATTATAAGATAGATCCTAATTTTAGAAAAAAAATGTGGATCTATAGATTTATATGTGGCAGATCTTACTGTCTCTACATATTTGGAAGTGTTAGTTTGTTAAAGAAATGATAGAGGTTTTGAACTACTGACAGTCTTAAAAATGAATTGAAAACCCTTTCACACTTTTTATGGTGTTAGTTTCTTTTACTCCATGATAGTGATTCAGATGACTCTGGATCTTGAGGTAATGGCTTTTCAAAGGTTTCTTATACTTCTGAACATGAATCACCATTTTAAAGTTTTGACATTTGTATCAAAAGAGAAGTTGGGGAAATCTTCAGAACATCAATAACTTAATTTTGCTTTAGACTTTGGGAAGTATTTGATTATGTTTGATAAATTCTGTCATGCATGCAGTACCTCTTCTGCCAGCAAAACCAAGGGATCACAGCCTTTTTTATATGAGACAGGTCACTTCTAGAGGACAACCCAAGATTTATTAAAGAAAATACTTCTATATTGAGAGTATATTTAAATATGTATTAATGATGTGTTTATAATTTGTTTCTTTAGTTAAATTTTGGAATTTGTGTATATTGAACTATAAGCTTTGGAAGAGGTATGTGAATTAGGAAAGTTTTATTTCTGGGAAGTTGTGTGGTTCACTATTTGGAGACCTAGGAAGGTATCTCTTGGTAAGAGTAAGGGTTCATCAGCACAAGAAATAAAAACAGTGATTTTTTTTTTCTTAGTGTATAGTTGTTTTACTGGCAATATTTAATGTTAGATTTCTATTTCAGAACATAAGTATATGAACTACAGTATGAGTTACATTCCCCAATTTAGATATCTGCTTCAGTAGATTTGTCTGCTGTGAAGATTACTTTTCAAAAGACAAATGTTCATATTGGCTTAACTTTTTGATTTAAATATTTTTGTAAATGATATATTTCTTTTGACTAAACATGGAAAAATAATGTATTATATTCAAAAGTTTTTTTTTACAGATTTTGATTGGAGATCATTTTTGCAGAGATGGTATTTTATATGCTCCTAGTGTTTACAAAAGAATTAGTCAAAAGGAATTCATATAATTCATATAGTTTAAATATTGATAAATTAGTATCCAAATAATGTACTTGTTTGATTTCTTAATAAGCTAGGGGAGGTGGGGGTGGGAATTATAATGTGCAAATAAGTGGTGATCTCTACATTAATTTTCAAATCTTTAATATATATAATTGCTAAACCATAACACATTGTTACTTTAATATATACATAAAGAAGTATTACTGTTAGTAAAGCTGCTGATGGCTTAAACAAAAAAGGGACTCATCATGTAAGTATTTTCTGTATGTTATGTTGTGCCAACAGGTTTAACATTAATTTGTGAAAAAACTTAATGATCTTTTTTGATTTAAAAAATTTTCTGTGAAGTAATTTATTTACAGACATGTTCTTCTTCCCTTGTCCTTTTAACCTTTATACACACTACAAAATCAACCAAACTGTTTTTCTAATCTGAAACTGAAATTTAAATCTTAATGATAAAAATTTAAAATTTGTTGGCACATCACACCTTAAAAATATTTTTATTATTTTGTAATTTAATTTCCAAATGTACCATGAGTTTATAATTTAATGTCTTAATTGTAATGTTCCAATAAAAACTACGAATATTAGTTGAATTATAACATGAAGGGATTTTCATCTTTCTCTTTTGCTGTATAAAGAATAATTGTTCTCACTTTGGGGGTAAAAACAACTTTTATCACTATGTAAATTCTATTGAGGGTTCTTCTGTACTAATAAAGCAATTATTGAAAAAAATGTGGGTCTAAGATAACAAAATGTCTATCCTCTGGTGAAATAAAATTGTTCCCTTGTACTTAAGAAGATGATTTTCAATATTCTCTATGAAACAAGTTTGAGATGGGAAAATCAAATCACTTTTTCATGGCTACATTACACTTTTGCATCTTTTTTTTTTCTTTCTGAAATAAAAGATTTGGTCCATAGGGAAAAAATACTAGAATCAGAAACATTACTGTGAGTATCTCCTTTTCTAAACTACACTTTTAAATGCTCCCCCAATTCAAAAAAACAGACCTATACAATTTGACAAACACATGAAAAGTTAAGTGGTAACTTTGAGCAGGGTTGTGACCTTTTCAACAAACCACTGAGAATACCCCCTCCCCCCAAAAATCAGAGCTTCAAAAAAGGAGGCTCAAACTATCACACAGCCCACAAAAGTGGAAAGGACAGACTGCAAGTTCTAGTACTCCTTCTGATACTGCGTAGGAAACCTTCTGGATTTATTTCCTCATTTGCCAAACAAAGGTGTGGGACCAGTTGAATTTTAAGGTTCACTTTCTGACATTAAAATATAATTCTGAGACTGAAAAATAATTGCTCTCATTTCCTATTTATTCTAAAAAGACTCAATTTACAGGAACTCCTGACATGTTTAAAAAGACCTGATTTTGTACTTCTTTTTAAAAACTTCACTATTTCAACCTCAAAGTACTATAAAAATTTTAAGCTTTCTTATAGAAGAAATATTTCTCTTTCATCTTATTTTCTCTTCGCACTTCAACTTTCCTTTCTATCACAAGGTATAAAACTGAAGTGGGGGGGTGGGGGATTGGTACAGGAATTTCTAAACATTCTAATTTGCCCCTCCAACAGGGATCTGGAAGGCATCTATGAGTGCTTTTTTTTTTTTTTTTTTAACGAAAATCAATATTGCAACACGTATGACCTTAGCTATAATGTGCTACCAATTGAAACTTAAGAGACAGGGAATAAAATTCCCTGGCATCTCTAGTTCTTTTAACCTCAGACTTATGACCATTAAAAAAAAAAAAAAAAAAAAAGAAAGGGGGGGAAAAAAGTTTGACAGGTGATGTTGTGGCTATTTTCCCAGTGGGAATGAAAATAGGCTTAGAAATATGGCATACTGACTTAGAGGTTTTTATACAAGAAACACTGCCATTTGTAACCCCACCTCTAATATAGGAGGTATCTTGGTTTAGATCTAAGACCTCCCAGGGCCTTAAAAACAGGTTAATCCCATGATTTAGATGTTTCAAGCACTCCAACAACAGAAAGCTAGATGGGATGGTCTCAAAAAGGATCTAGGAAGAAAATTCAGTTCACTGTTAAGTGCTGCTAGGGTGGGTTGAGGAACCAGATCTTTTAGACACACTTTCTTTCTTTCTCTATGTTCTTTTTCCTGTTAGGACAACAGACCTACTAAAGGGTATGATCTTTCAGACCCTCAGACCAGCAAGACCTCAAGAGAAAAAGACATCCTGTGGGCAAATTCCTTCCGGGGTTTTCCTATCACAGTGGCTGTGCTGCACATCTGGCCTTCTACATCCTAACCCATAACCAATGCAGATTAAGCTGATTTAGGCCTATATCCAATCTGACCTCATTCTTGGTGCTCACACTCTACTGAGCAGAGATATTAATGGGTACATCTTTGGGGGGGTTTTTGTTGTTGTTGTTGTTTTGCTTGTTTTTCCTTTTGCCTAAAACACCCTCCTAAGAATTCCATAAAACTTTTCCAAATAAGCCCAACTCTTTCCTACCTGCCAAAGTTATCTAGCCAGACCTTTGTCCTCAAGCAATTTGGTAACTAAGTGTAGCTGTTGAGTACACACTCGTTATTGCACACTTTTAGAATACAATCTTCTCAAGAAAAGAATTAAGTTAGAAGCAAGGTGGAAACAAGAAAGTAAGGAAAAACTTTAACTGAATGTCTAGTTTAAATGAGGTACTTCATATAAATTCTGCAGTGAACACAAATCATCCTATGTATTATCATTTCTAAAACACAGTTTTTCCACTTTTTAACATCTTTTAAGTTAAGATGTATCTGATAAGCAATCACTTCACAATTTCAATTAGCAATTGTTTACACTGTTTAATAGTAGGCCAAATAATGGTGAACCTTATAAGTGGCAATGCCTCCAATCCATTAAAATATGGTATTATTGGCACGTGGTTTGAAACATTGGTTGAAAAAACTACTAAGAAAAAAACCTAGAGTCATAACACACACTGTAAAGGGACTAGCCAATCCCTGATGTGACTGATTCTAAAGTTTCTTTCTACAATCACCCATCCACCAAACACAGAGACTTTGAACCTGACAAGAATTTTCAACAGTCAGCATTACTCAGACTAGCAACCTTGAATGATAAATTTTCAGGAAGTGAAATGAAGTGTGCACACTGCCGGATGGAGACAGCGCAAATAAATTGGTTAAAATCCCTGCTAACCCAGCCTCTGCTTCCTCGGGATGCAGAAAACGCCTTTCCGCTGACCCTACAATCCACAGAACGAACAATTCGAATTCTTTTCAATTCTCCAATTTCCTACCGACATACTCTTCCCCTACCTCTCAAAATCAGACATTCACTCTCCCAACTGAGTTTATCTAGACCTCTTCACCTTTAGCTCCAAATAGGGCCAGTCTAGACGCCACCTCCAACTCGCCACTTGTCACCATGGAGGCAAAAGCATGATCCCAGGTCTACTAAGCTCCCAGACCCGAATCCTGACTAAGCCACCCAGGTGGCCATCTGGCCCACCTATCCAGCAAAACTCCCTCCACCCTAAAAGGGTCCACATGAGGTTCGGGCCCCCAATGGCTTCCTCGCCCAGGCCAAGGTTCCGCCCCGGAGGGACAGCGGTGGCCTGAGCCTGGACGTTATGTTCGGCGGGGCCAGGAAGCACGAAGGTCAGAAAGACAGAGCCCAGGCCCGACTCACGCAGGAAGGCGCGCGTCAGCTGGCGAGCGGCGGCTAGGCCGCTGCTGCCGGAGACCATGGTGGCGGTGGCAGCTGCAGAGGCTAAGCCTGCGGTCATCCCCCAATGACACTCCCAGGACCCCCGGGGACCTGACAGGGGCCGAGGCAGGAAGAGGAGGGTGGCTATAACAATAGCCTGAAAGAATTTCTCTCAACAGAGGGCTATTCACTGAACATAATGGGTCTTATGTGGAGAATAAAAAGAAGCACACTATATAATGTGTAGATAATAATTTATCTCTTCCCTGAAATTGAGTTTGGTTAACTTTAACTACAACGGCAACTTAGAGCAAACCCTATGCGAGCCTGGTTGGCGCGGGGCGTTGTGGGAAATGTAGTTTGAAATCCCGATTTGGAAGCTTAAAGTGGGAGCGGGCTGGAAGCGCTGCGGTATGCTTCCGGAGTCTAACCCAAGGGCGGAGGACTGATCGAAGGAGTGAAGAAACAAGTGAAACGCAAAGAGTAATGCCGGGTCCTAGGCCAGTCTTCTGCACCTTCATTTCCCTCTTCTGGCGTCCAGAGAGGATGAAACCCCTTCCACCCTTGCAAGGACCTGGAAGAATCCCCCCACTCCCACCCCGAAATAGTGAATCTATTCTCCCCCAAGAGTCTAGTAAAGGAAAAACGCGACGAGAAAGACCAAAACCTACTGACTGTGTCTTCTAATGTAAATCCTTTGGTTAAGCAAACTATCATACACCTTTGATTATGACTAAGTTTATGAGTTCCTCTTTCCTAGGGATCCTAAAGACTGAAATTCGATGTCAAAAGTGATTTTGCCCAATTTTGCCCAATTTAATAACTTCTGTAAGAGCTTTGGAAAGAAACTCAAGAGTCCCAGAGTCAAAAGGTAAATAAGAGATAAAGTAGTCTGCACATGATATTCCTCATCATTATCATTAATAAAATTATTACTCAAGTTTACTGAAGTAGTTATAATTTGCCTCAAGTTATGCGATGGGATTGCCGAATGAGATTGCCCAATATTTTCTCTATGACCCAGATATTGTCCTAGACAGAACGGGACTGCAAACTCTTCCCTTATCTAGTGGATCCTGTCCATGGGAGAGTTAAATAGTATCAGTGCATTCCAAATATGAAGACTCATTTCAAATAGCTAAATTCTTCCTGAGCCTTCACTTGCTAAGAGTTACACATTTAGTTTCACTTAACTGGTAAAATGCATAATGCAATAAATATAATTTCAGTATGATTTAAATGAATTTGTATTTTCATGAAGAAAGGGATTTTAGTTTGGTTTATATGCTATATCCCTAACACCTTGAACATTATCTGACACAAAAATAGAACTCATTATGTGTTCAACTGGATTGATATAAGAAATAGTGGTATACACATTATTTATTGAATCCACAATAGTTGATGAGCATAAGGATATTTCAATCCCTTGTGAAACTACACTCCACACCAATTCTGTAGCTCATAAGTTGGGGACAATTGCACTAGACAGTAAGTATATCATTATATATGTACAGATTGAGTTTTGGAAACAGATATAGATTCAAGTTCTAATTCAGCCACTAGATATGTGACCTCTGGGTTACAGTTTTTCTCATATCTCATGAGTATTGTAAACAATTAATACATTCAGTATGTAAAGCTCTTGATGTATTTCATAAGCATTTGGTAAGTGGTAGTTATTAAAGATAAAAAAAAAACTTTTCTTCATATAGCAGAGTGATGTTGAATTGATGTGAATAACCAGATGTAGAATAGGATATTTCCATTTGACTCAAAACTTTGGCTAAAGCCCTAAAGCTGAGGACAACAGGGTAAAAATACCCCCACATACTAAGGAGGGCATTCCAAGAGCACCCTGTCTCCAAAGTTTGGTAAGAAGTGCCAAACTTTTCTTTGGATTCTCACCATCACAGCCCAGCCCACTCTAGTAAGAAAGACAGAAATTCACTGATTGAGGGGATTGATTCTTCTGGGTCTTCAGCTGTCAGCTTAATATTTCCCTTTCCTTCCTCACCCAGCTAAGCTGATGAGGAAGGGTTCCTTACCAGAAGAAGACTGGCATTAAATTCCTATAAAACTGCAGAAATTCATGACCCCACCTCAGTGCCCTAGGTACAATTTGATAAAGAATGCTTGGGAAAACTTGAACTTTGAAGGCTGACCTAAACATGGAGAATTATGTCAGCTTCCTGCTTAGAGAATTCTAAAGGCAGGAGGCTGATTGGCAGATAAGACAGTATTTGGTATAGCAAGATATATAGCATTCCCAGTAGTGAAATTGATGCCAGGAAGGGAAGCAAAGCCCCTTCACCCCAGTAAGATTGTCTTTTGGGGCGAGGAATCCTATCTTTTAAAATCATAGAAGACCCCTGGATAAGTTACAAGAAATAAGCCAAAGAACACAAAACTCACATTATTAGGGTGCTATAGATGAAGGTACTAGGCAGGGGAAGGGAGAGGAGCTTATAGAAAAATCGATAAAGTGTCCATAAAGATCCAGTGTTCCAGAGAGTATGAACCAGTAGGAGAGAACCACAAATAGCACCATTAAAGAGATTTTACCTAGACTTCACTCTGCTTTTAGAGGAGCCAAGAGCAAACAGGGAAGAGGAGGAGTAGTAGAAGAGGAAGGAGGAGAACGCAGGCCCTGACCCTTGTCCAGCTTCAAGATTTGAAGCCAAAAATCATGCCAGATCTGAGAAGGAAGGAGAAGCTTTAAATTAGGTCTAAGGTTGATATTTTCAGTTGGCTCAAATGGATGAGAGAGAGAGAGAGGGAAAAAAAATAGAAAGGTCAAAAGTCTGATGGGCTTTCTGCTTGATAAGTAATTTTTATTGTTTATGTATAAAAGTTGTTATAGTTCTGTATCTTACCTTGATTTTAATATAAGCCTGATTTTTTCAGGATTTTCAGATCCTCTAGTTTTCATCAGAGTCTTGTCCAAATCTCTGGACTAATGCTAGGGTAGGGTGGATGCAGTGAAAGAAGGATTTGGTCTTCTGGCTTGCTGGCATCACCTGATATGTCCATCTTTCTACAGCTGATGGTCCAAGTGATTGCTACATCATCCCTTGCTTCCACTTGCAAGGCCCCTTTGTTCTGGCTCTGTCAGCTCATTTGAGCTCTTCTCAGGCACACAGAGAACCTTCCAGCTTCTCTGAGACACCAGAAACATCCTTGCTTGCCCAGGCATACCATTAGCTGCATCTTGCCACTGCTTCATGAACCCCCTCAAACCAGTCTAGTGATGCTAGGGATTACTTACCTCCTTCCACTGCAAAGCTGAGGACATGGAGGTAGGGGATCAACACCTAAGCTTTCCTGGCTTTCCCTCTTCTTTCCTAGCCCAAAGTCCATTTTCTGATCTTGGAGACATTAATTCACACATTTGTCCTAAATCTAAATTATTTCTGTCCCCAGGTGTCTGTAGTAGACTTGTTTTCCTAGAGCAGTGTACCAAAAATAACAAATAGAAATTGGTATGGGAAAGAGGTATAAGTACTGGTGATAAAGAGGGTCAGAAAGTAGAGGAAAATAGGAGGAGGAAAAGCATCTATTAGTATTACAAAGTATGTTCCTGGTGTTATTTGGCTGTGCTAAGATTTTGTGTGTATTCACCCAGGCAGTCTGACTCTGACATGTAGAACTGGAATAAGAAGAGCCTTCTCTAGGCCCATTGTTTGGACTTCTTTCTGGGGAAAAAAAATCTGTTTTCTAAATGCAATAATGTCTGCTTCATCCCTAGTGATAACAAGCACACTTGAAGAGAAACCTATTGTATACAAGAAAGGCTGGGACCTCTAGGGCTGATGAGCCAGCCTAAGCCCTCAGGCGCCACCACAGGTATCATTGATCCCTTCATCAAACAAATAGGCTAGGAAGTAGTATCCTTGTCCTTTATTATAGAAGATGGTGTAACATGAATCAGAAACACCTAAACCCAGACAAATCTTCAGCATTTGAAAGTAAGGAAGAGAGATGAATCAAAAAGACTTGATATTATTTTCATCTGAAGTACAGTCTCAAAGAGAGAATGAATGAATCACAATGAACCAGCTACCACTACTTGCTAATTTGAGCAGAGAATTTTGAGCAGTCCCTGACAGGTACTTGAGCTACTAGTTTGGTTTCCTTTCTTAAAGAATTTTCTGAAATGTACCCACAGAGTCCCCCTCAAAGCCAATGACAGTTAATTGAATAATTGATCTTACTTAGCACCTCTGAAGAGGTAGTTACCTTTACACTGGACCCTAAAGGAATGTCAAAACCTTTGACCTTTCCTCTAGAAGAAATGAATTCCAAATATAATTTCTTTTCCTCATACTTGAGCTCTACTGTGGATTTTATTTCATGGGAAGCAGACTGAATATTCTGGACAAGACTACCCTAGGGACCAAACCTGTTGAGGAGTGGGGAAGAGAGCAAGATAGGTCAGAAAGAGGTCGAGCTATTTGTCACAAGCATGATATATGTAATTTTGGCTAAAGCCCTTAAAATTGCTCTGAATTAGGCCAACATGACCAGGCCTCTGTACCTCCACATGGATCATCAGCAAATCTGGGCATCTCTGGAAAGGGGCTTGATCATGGTTGAGGTATCTCTCTTCATCCAGGAAATGCCTGAAAGGATGAGCAGACAGCTGAAGGGTCTTTACTAATAACACTTCCAGTAGGAGGGCAGCATCTCCTTCATTGAAGGGCACCTGGGTGTTGCATCTTTGTATCCACCAAATGTTCCTTCAGGAGAATATTTGATGAGAAAATAAGAGTCAGTCCTGGAGCAAAACTATAAAAATGATAATTTGGTTTAGGTGTCCCTCCTTTTCCCACTCAGTGACCATCTCCTTCCTCTGAAAGTGACCATTTTTCCCTAAACATTTAGTGTTCTCATACTATCCAGCACACACTACCACTAAAAATTTTAGACTTTTGCCCTGTTTCTTGGGGCAGTGTTGTCCCTTAGGGATTAGAAACACCAGGCCAAGTCTTTGACCTAGTTTAATATATTCCTCCCAAGTTACATTTGCAGTTTAACAGAAATGGCTGATTTCTTCGCAAAAAAAATATGAATCCTGTTAAAAATTCTAGAAAGACACGAGA